TTCTTTACATTTTGCAATGTCCCAACGGAAAATATTTTTTACAGTTTGCAATGTCCCAACGGAATATTCATTACATTTTGCAATGTCCCAACGGAATATTCTCTACATCTTGCAAGGTCTCAACGGAATATTCTTTACATTTTGCAGTGTCCCGACGGAATATTCTTTACATTTCGCAATGTCCCAAGGGAAAATATTCTTTACATTTTGCAATGTCCCAGTGGAATATTCTTTACATTTTGCAATGTCCCAAAGGAAAATATTCTTAACATTTTGCAATGTCCCAACGGAATATTCTTTACATTTTGCAATGTCCCAACGGAAAATATTTTTTACAGTTTGCAATGTCCCAACGGAATATTCATTACATTTTGCAATGTCCCAACGGAATATTCTCTACATCTTGCAAGGTCTCAACGGAATATTCTTTACATTTTGCAGTGTCCCGACAGAATATTCTTTACATTTCGCAATGTCCCAAGGGAAAATATTCTTTACATTTTGCAATGTCCCAGTGGAATATTCTTTACATTTTGCAATGTCCCAAAGGAAAATATTCTTAACATTTTGCAATGTCCCAACGGAATATTCTTTACATTTTGCAATGTTCCAACAGAATATTCTTTACATTTTGCAGGGTCAGCTGCTTTGCACGCCCTAAAAATAATGTCAGTATCACCTTTTGAACAGTCACACAGCCACTAACATGTTCTCAGCCATTGAGAGAGGTCCAATTGAATGTTCTTCAATTTCAGTGAGACAAATGGTTGGCACAGAAGGACATTATCTCATGATGCAACGTTTGAATTTTCGCAGAGTGAAAAACATGTTTTTGTCCACTTTGCAAGTGACCTCAGTGAAGCAAGAAATGTTTTCTTGATGTTCTGTGTGGCAATCGTTCGGCATGGCAGAGAATTCTCTCGCAGAGCAGTTTTTGAATTTTCAACATTTGACTTTTTCTCTTCGCTCTGCTCAATGCCCTCGCCACCAAAAAAAATGGCCCCTAAAAATGGTCTGAACTTTGCCAATTAAAAGTTAATGGCACTTATCAACACTCTCTGCAGTGCCAGAGCACACAATTTTGCTATTGTTCCCACAGATAAAAATGAAAGGGGGAAAATTCATTCTGAGATAGAGAACAAGAGGGAGCGAACAACAAGAAAGTGGGGATGATGGAAGAGAGATAGAGACCGAGATAAAAACATGAGCCACAGGGGAGAGCAGGACATTAGCGATTCTGGCTGCAAAGCAGATTGAGCGGCTCAATAGCAGAATTCCCTGAATAGCAATAATAAGTGCACTGATACACAGAGCAGTAATTCACAAATGGACTAGAAGGACAAAGACAGATAAAGAGTGGGGAAGAGGGGCAATGATGAAACAGCACACCATCGCCAGCAGGGCAACCTGTCAGCATATCTCGGTAGACCTATAATGTGCACTTTATGTCTAGATCTGCTTTTTTATGTGTATCATTTTTAATTTTTTTTTTGTCATGCACGTTATTTTGAATGTATTTTTATCCAAACAAGTACAACATCAAATCTAACATAATATCAACACCAGGATATGTTGTAGTTTGCCATGCCAATATACAAACCCCAATTCCAATGAAGTTAGGAAGTTGTGTAAAACGTGAATAAAAACAGAATGCCATGATTTGCAAATCCTTTTCAACCCATATTCAATTGAGTGCACTACAAAGACAAGGTATTTAATGTTCAAACTGATAAACTTTATTCTTTTTTTGGAAATATTCACTCATTTTGAATTTGATGCCTGCAACATGTTCCAAAAAAGCTGGGACCAGGGAATGTTTATCACTGTGTTACATCAGCTTATAAGAACACTCAATAAGCATTTGGGAACTGAGGACACTAATTGCAGAATCTTTGTAGGTGGAATTCTTTCCCATTCTTGCTTGATGTACGACTTCAGTTGCTCAACAGTCCAGGGTCTCCTTTGTCGTATCTTGCACTTTGTACAATGTAATTTGCCACACATTTTCAATGGGAGACAGGTCTGGACTGTGGGCAGGTCAGTCTATTACCTGCGCTCTTTTACTAGGAAACCACGCTATTGTAACACGTGCAGAATGTGGCTTGGCATTGTCTTGCAGAAATAAGCAGGGACGTCCCTGAGAAAGATGTCGCTTGGATGGCAGCATATGCTGCTCCAAAACCTGTATGTATTTTTCTGCATTACTGGTGCCTTCACAGATGTGCAAGTTACCCATGCCATGGGCACTAACACATCCCCATACCATCACAGATGCTGGTTTTTGAACTTAGCGCTGATAACGATCTGGATGGTCCTTTTCCTCTTTAGCCCGGAGGACACGACATCCATGATTTCCAACAAAAATCTGAAATATGAACTCGTCAGACCACAGCACACTTTTCCACTTTGTGTCAGTCCATCTCAGATGAAGTCGGGCCCAGAGAAGCCGGCAGCGTTTCTGGGTGTTGTTGATATAGGGCTTTCAGTTTGCATGGTAGAGTTTTAACTTGCATTTGTCGATGTAGCGACGAACTGTTTTAACTGACAACGGTTTTCTGAAGTGTTCCTGAGCCCACACGGTAATATCCTTTAGAGAGTGAGGTCGGTTTTTAATGCAGTGCTGCCTGAGGGACCAACGGTCACGGGCATTCAATGTTGGTTTTCAGCCTTGCCGCTTACGTGTAGAGATGTCTCTGGATATTCTGAATCTTTTGATGATATTATGGACTGTAGATGATGAAATCCCTAAATTCCTTGCAATTGCACGTTGAGAAATGTTGTTCTTAAACTGTTGGACTAATTGCTCACGCAGTTGTTCACAAAGTGGTGAACCTCGCCCCATCCTTGCTTATGAACGACTGAGCCTTTTGGGGATGCTTCTTTTATACCTAATCATGACACTCACCTGTTTCCAATTAACCTGTTCACTGGTGGAATGTTACAAACAGGTGTTTTTTGAGTATTCCTCAACTTTCCCAGTCTTTTGTTGCCCCGGTCCCAGCTTTTTTGGAATGCGATGCAGGCATCAAATTCAAAATGAGTGAATATTTCCAAAAAACAATAAAGTTTAACAGTCTGAACATAAAATATCTTGTCTTTGTATTGTACTCAATTGAATATAGGTTGAAAAGGATTTGCAAATCATTGTATTCTGGTTTTTTTTTTTTTTCACATTTTACACAATGTCCCAACTTCATTGGAATTGGGGTTTGTACATTTATCCATTTTTTTTCCCAATTTGAGAGAGGTGAAGAGGTGAATAATAAAAAGACAGTGTGAAAGAAAGAGAGATAACACAGTAGACAGAGCCAGGCCTTACCACAGCCTTGTCCCAGATTAGAGACATCCTCTCCTCTACTCCATTCACTCCCTCCGGGATCTGAGTGAAGTCATCCTTTCCAATGGCCTTCTGAGCCACACTGAAGGTGCAGTGGGCACTTCCTGTCACGTTCAGGTCACCGCTGAGGAAACAGGAAGAGAGGCATCCCCATGAAAAACATCTCAGAACTATCCAACAAAGCAGAATGATAAAGCATAAATGAGTGCCCCAGAAATCTGAAGAGGTAATTCAGTGAATACCATACTAATTACTATTGCTTTCAGATTTACCTAAAGCACTGAGGGCACAACTGCAGTTCAGGGGATCCAGTCTGCCCGCTGCTTTTTATTCCAACGAGCCTTTTTTCAATTCAGTCATGTAAACTATGACATTTCACAACTGCACTGGAGCATAGAAAAATCTTTAGGATAAACTTAAGAGTCTGCAGCAGTAGACACATCTTTTAACCTGTTTTTAATGGCTTTTCCCCATTTCTGCATCCTGTTGAAAACTAGCCCCTTGGCTAAACTAGCACAATTACAGAGCATGTGCTCTGTGATTGTAAAAAAAAAAAAAAACACACACACACGCACTTGTAAATAAAGAACACATAAACAAATATTGCAAACAGATTGAGCTCATTTTGCACCCCTGAGCAAAAGCCATGCTTCAGTGAGGACGGAATCAACAAAAATTTCCAACCATCAAACATGTCTTTATGTGTAAACCATTTCCATGAGTGCAGACTACAATCAACTTCATGTAAATTGACACGGCCCTTTGCCTGGTACGTAAAAGGCCATGGATCAGCGATCATCATGCCGAGTTCGCCGTCACATCCCTAGAGATTTTTTTGTGAGCACGCTACAAGCCACAAATTTCAACCAATTTGTTTCATGTTTAGCCTGGGCCTTGTGTGTAGTAAGGAACCAAAGCCTATCGATTTTGGGAGTGATTGTTCTAGGGGGTCCCGGGGTACACGTCGACCAGTGGGCGACCTAGTATCTAGTTTGATGATGACTCATAGGCAAACTGGAAAATACATCCAAGGACAACAACAATAAACTATGACAAAACAGATGAAAAAAAAACACACTGCATGCCAGTTATTAATGTTTTCATCCTCTGTGACTGTTTCCCTCTCATTTGAGAAAAAAACAAAGCAGCCTTTGAACCAGAGGTGGACAGGCCAGGTGCAGAAAGAAGGGCTGGGCGATACGGACAAAATGAAACCTCGTGATATTTTTTCACCAAATACTTTAACATGGATATTGTGACAATACTGTCGGGACACATGATGGTGTTTTCAAAAAACCTTCACACAATGTGATTTTTGACAAACGGATAGCTACAGGCAACTCCTAAAACAGTCTAAGGGAAAATAACTGCATTCCCTGCAAAAAATGTGCTATAGGAATCCTATAGGACAGTTCAATAGAATTCTATAAAACTTTAGTACCTCGAGTCCTATAGAAAAAAAGTTTTATAGAAAATTTCTATAGGAAACAGCTCCATAGAAAATTTCTATAGAACAGCTCTTGAAGAACTTTTTTCATTTCTTTTTGGCATCTTCAATCCCACCCGAATCTGGAAGGCGACAAACAAAGCAACCATATTATATTACCCTTCCTGGCAAACCCTTCCCAATTTGCATCCCTCTAGCGCAATGGCCAATTGTGCACTACTCTGTCCGGGGCTCGAACCCGGACCCTTCTGTTCCGCAAAACGGTGCTTTAACCGAATGAGCTATCCGGCAACTGGGAAACTTTCGATTGTTCTTGATCCTGATCAATTTGAATTGCTTTGCTGAACCCAACAGAAGGCCCGTTGTTGTCATGTATCTCAGGGTCTTAGAGGATTCAAAAGGAATTAAGTGGCTTCGCTGAAAAGGAACGCCATGTTAGTAATCCTGTTAGGTGACCATGATACATGTATAAAGATGGTGGGAATAAGTCTTAGCAGACCTCAAACTGTATTCAAATTAATTCTAAATCTGCGCATAATCTGCAATCACATGCATGTAAATGGAAAGGAATAATTTGATTGAATTTTTAAAATTAAGGGAAAGTTCAAAAGCTCAAACTTTCAACATAATTCTGTCTTCACAAACAAAAGAGGAACGTGAGTTTTCCATTATAGCACAATAAAGTTGTAATGCCTTACATTTAAATTTTTGAATTGCTGCCGACGAAATGGAAAGAGGTCTTCATATACCGTAACTGAAATACTGCTAAGTTGTGCGGTCAGTCAGTCAATCAATCGTCTGATCAGAGAATCAATGAGTTGGTATGTGCCTGGTACCCCATGTGCTTAAGCACACCTTAAAGTTTAAAGGGACGAGATTTCCTTGCTACTTCAGTATAGTGGATATCACTGCATATTGCACATTTTCATACCATTAGTCCGGTCTCTCACTTCTAGAACCCGGGTACACATAAGGTAAATTGACCCTTCGACAGAGCATTGCAAGGAATCATAAGATTTATTTTTATTTTTATTTAACCCTTATTGAAGATGTCTTTCCCATTAAGCTTTTGTTCTATTAGAAGGTCCTAAAGACCATCAAAGTCCTATAGAACAGGTTTTTCAACTAGGGTGTTCTATAGGAAGGTCTTATAGAACAGCAATAACCTTATTGGACTTTCTTTTCCATAGAGGTGCTCTATAGGTTTCTAGCAAATTCCTATAGAACAGACAGAAAATCCTATAGAACATGCTGTTCCACTAGAATGTTCTATAGAGTTCCACTGATGTTCTATAGAGTTCTATAGAATTCCATAGAAGTCCTATAGAACATTTTTTGCAGGGTTCCTTTACTCGATAATGCAGCTTTCAAAATAAATCCAGAAAAGACAACAGTCAAGTCATATCACAATATTATTATATCGTCACATCCCTTTTGCGAATGCCTTTCGTCTCCCTTCTGATTCAGCAACTCACAAGTCAATCAGGAGTATGCTGCCCTTGATTGGCTTACGACTTGCAAATTTTGTCCTCATTGGCTGCATCTCGTTACATGGTTATTTCCTAATGACTATGATCCGCGTATTCACACCCCTTGCTTGGGTTTGTAAGCTGCTGGATCGTAGAATTTACGTTTTGTGTTTGAACCCAGCCAGAATTCCCACTAGAAACTCTTTGTCTTTATTAAGTGTGATGCTGTCATTAATAAAGACAGAGTTTCAACAATTAAGTGTAACATAATCTTTAATGACTGCTATTTATTCAGTTATCTCAAACAATCTTCCAAGCCTATTCAGGGTCCAGGACTGGAATTGCACTCAAGTTAGCCCAGCTCAAGTCAGTGCCTCTGTCCAGTTTTATGGGAACAAGCTCCCAAACCTAACCAGGATCCAGGATTGGAACTGCGCTCTTGTAAACCCTTCCAAGTCTGTTACCCTGTCCAGTTTTTTTAGGAACAAGCTCCCAATCCATTTACGGTCATCAGGATTTGAACCAAGTTCACCTCAAGCGACTCCTCCTCCAGTGGGGACAGTTTGGTGCCAGCGGAGTATGCACTGCGCCTGGCTGTTGTCCCGGAAACCACTGACTGGCAATTGACAACTCAGCTTCGCCCACAACATCTGCAATGAACTGTGCTATCCTTCTCTGGGGTTTCATCCCCACCTCTTCTTCTGGGGTTTCATCCCCAAATTACAGCATAAACTGTCAATGAAGCTACCGAATGGATTGTACTCTGCCTCCGCACTTGATTCCTGGTCTGGAACACATAAGATATCCAAAACCCAGTTGATAACTCACAATATTGACACAATATTGATATATTGCCCAGCCTGACCAGAAAGAAAAAAGCTTCCCCAACATTTTGTTCAACCCACATGGATTCTATAATGAGAACAACCCTTAAGCCAGGACGTTTAATTAATTTTTGTGAAATTAGCTGACTGAGCCAATGGGTGTAAGTAAAGGATTTCTACTTCCTGACCCCTCGAATACGTACTTCCACTGGGAAACATGAAAAACTGCACTTGTCAGCAAAAATCTCCCAACCATGCAGAAGATCCTGTCTGAGAGCAACCAATGCCAGTCATTCTGATCTGAGCTGTGCTCTCGACATGGCTAACAGATGCTAAGAAACCTTCAATCAATTTACGCCACCAGTTTGGCCACCTCCGTAACTCACCATCTTTAAGCAGCTTTGACCCGCTAGAAACCAGCTATCACAAGCAATAGACAGGTTATGACCCACTAGAAAAACACTGAAAACATGCCTCAAACCAAATTATAATCACAGATGTTCATGGCTGGACCAGCTATGCAAGGCATCCATTTTAGCACAATAAATAACCTCCTGATTATTTTCATTGAATGCTACTCGCCGTGCACACTCCGGAACAGTAGAATGTACATTTATTTGCTAGTGATTAAAAACAAAGCCTCATATCCCTTTTAGGTTACAAAACTTCATTTAAAAGACAAAGGGGTCATATGCCGTGTTTCCTATTTCTTTAATTGATCATTTCAGCAAATGGGCATATCAAGATTCTACGCAATAATGAACATAACCACTTGCTTAATGATGTAATTATATCTAAGGCAAAATAACTGATTGCAGCCAAAATAAATCTGTGAATAAGTATTGGCAGACAGCTCTAAAGTCCTCTGCATGATAGGCCATAGCATAGCTAAAGGAATGGAATTCTTTCACTCGACATTGTATCTGTGATTCATCACGCCTCAGTGGCCTCCTTTGGTCATTCCCTCATGCATAGTCAGCCTCTACGCCACACACAAAGCGCTTTAAAATCGATGTCTCTGCGGGTCTGAGCTGTTAAACATAAAAGACCAGGCTTCATTCTGCTGAACTGATAACGGGTAACAACGAAGATTTTTAACACACAAACAAACACGCAGAGCGGAGTCTGAATGTAGAGTAAAACGGGGGTTAAAATCCTTTCATCCATTCACTGACCCGCATATTCCTAATTAGGGTCACTGAGGTGGGGGAGGGGCTGGGCTGGTGCCAACTCCAGTGTCCATTGAAGGACGAGAGGCAGGACTACGCCCTGGATAGCTCACCATCAAGCCATCACAGGACAGACACATGCGCACCCACATTCATAACTACCAGTACTTTTAGAGTCTATCATTCATGTGACATGCTTATCTTTGGACTGCGGCAGGAAACCGAAGAATCTGCAGGAAACCCACAGGACACTAGGGAAATCTACGTAGAGAATAATTCAAACCCAGAATTTTTTTGCTGAGAGGCAATGGTGCTATATAACGCTAGGGTTAAAAGTTGAACAGAAAGAAAACTAGATACCACTCAGCGTTTTATATCCCCTTGGCATGGGCACGGCCGACCTCTGACTTACAAAAAATATGAGGTCAAAATTTGACCTATGACATTGGTACGAAATAGGCTTCTAAAAACACCCAATATGCATAACCTGTTTAAATTTGAGGGCTGTCCCTATAACAGTTCAGCAGTTAGAGCGGTAACAAACGATGGGAAGACAGACGAAAGTACAGCTGGCAGAGGTTATGACAATACCCCATCAGCTCGAAGCACCGAGGGGGTAAAAAAAAATCACAAAGCTAAATAAAGGCTATTGCATGATGTAGGTACTGGGTGGCGCCCTTTACCAACCTGGCTAGTAAGGTGTTCAGATAGTCTGGGGTGGTGGGATCGGGACTGAGGGGTGGTGATGTCACAAAGGATGCTGCCTTGGCCCAGTTCTTGCTCCAATAGTGTGTCCCATCTGTCCCCAGGCTGGCTGTGATTGGTTCCCCAAACACGACATTACCTAAGATTCAGTAGAACAATTCATTTCAGTTGTCACAGTTCTAGCTCAGGAATTTACCAGGGGCCTGTGTGATAACGTGTCCTTGCTAAATTAGCAACATAAATGCACTACACCTATTATCTCTAAATAATATTGTATGTTATCCATCTCAACAAAGTTTACTGGTTTCTTCCATGAATCAAAGAATGTCAACAACAGATGTCCCTCAACCGAGAATGCACTGATGCTCAGAACTTCACTTTCCTCTGCTGATCTAAGCTCTTTGTTTACTAATGCTTATGAGTGTCTTGGCTGTGATGTGTCCAATGAAAGAAGCTAGGCTGAATGCATGATTTACAGTATTGAGGTTGCCTGACAAAACATCCAACAAAGGTTGTCATGCAAGATGACCTCACGACTCAGGAATGATTTTGCCATACAGAGAGAGAACATGTTTCTAACTTATTTAAATAGCAAAACATCCTTCAACTACACCACTCACAAATGCATCTGCTTTCTGTCTACAGACCTAACTCAGCTTGATAAATGTCAAACACATTTGGATAAAGCACTTAAAAACATGCCCCTTTGCACATTAACAAAGTCTCTGGCACAGGTAGAAAAAAATACGTTTCTCTTCAGGTTTTTGAGACATATTCCAGAGCAGACGCAGTGTATAAATCCGTGTGCTGGAAATTATGACTGACTCATCACGAGGGGATACGTCGCCTGTCCTGCCACGTGAAGGCTGGCTCTGTCAGTGTATTTGAACCGCGCGTGGAGGATTAGGCACCTTTTTTCCTGGCCTGAGAGATGATGTCAGCCGCACTTTTGCTCATGACCTTGGTCACATACAGGGGGCAGTTAGTCTGGCTGGCGATGGTGATGGATCGGAACACTGCTTCCGCCTCCAGCTACAGAAAGGAGAACAGGACCAAATGAAGACATGCAACAGCACACACACGCAGGTACACACTCACAAACACTTACACATACACATACACAC